TCGTTGATCAGGTACAGGTTCATGCGGATGGTGACGTTGATCGGGGTACTGTGGTGCCTGACTGGGCGGACGCGATTGTCGTAATGTGAGTTTTCGAACAGGTCCCTGACCAGGCGCTTGCTGGTAGCTTCCGTATCGTTCTGCACGGCGGCCAGTTGGCACCCTAGTGGGAAACAGACGAGGTGGCTTTCTGAACAAACGCGAAACACCAACCGAATGCCAGAGACTTACCGACGCACAGGCAAAGCATGGCGACGAGGTGCATCGACCACGCGTCACGTAGTCGCCAGTTGACCATCGTGGTCAGTTTTCGTTTTCGTGTCGTCGGCCAGGGGGGTGGGAACGGCAATTGTTCACTTCTGCAAAAGCGTGTCACTCAGCAGAATGAGGCACACGACGCGGGGCAGCGACCACACGGACAAGACGTGTGATCGCAGAACTGCCGCATGTGTGCCCACATGGTCGCCGGATGGGCGCTCTGCCTTTACTCCCAAATTGGCCTTGCCTGTAGCGTTGGAGAACGTCGAGAACTTTGGAGGGACATGGGAAACATCTAGCAAAATCGAAATTTTGTTGGCACGTCGTTTCACATTTGCGATGCATGGCGCGCATTAGCTAATAACATGCGATTAACACGACTCCGGCGGACATCAATTCTGACCGTCTGCCGATCCCGTAAAGGGAAAGGCAACATAGCAGCAACGACAGGCATTGCTCCTCGCCTCGAGACGCCACCGCTGTCAGCCAATCGCAACAAGGCATTAATTAGAGTTATTAATTAGCCCTTTCGGTAATTGACCGCGCTAGTAATTGGAATCGAACGACTGGCTAAAACTTCCAATAATTATCGAATATGATTTCCAATAACGAGGTGTACGAACGTAGATCTTTAAACCTGCCGCATCGGCGGTATTGCCACGGTACACTGGGATGACGTTCTTTCAAGAAATCAGTTGGGTTGGTCACTCCTCGTCATAAAACGATTAAATCAGTCAACTTAATGGTTGTTTCCATCTCATTACTCAACCATAGCTAAAACTTAATTAATGTCATGCTTTTTTGGCTTTTCCATAATCATACAGTCGACAGGCTTTGTGAACAGGGAAAAAGCTAAAAGGTCAGCTTTAATTGAATTTCAAATCAGTCAATCAACCAGTTCAAATGACTGCATATTCGTTCGGATCGACGAGGTAAATCGCTCAAACAGCATTTCCAATATTTCTGATCATGTGCCAGCATTTGATCGTCAGCAGAACATAATCTGAGTCTGAATCACGTTCCATCGAGACACTTGGCCCAGGCCATTTTTGACCGCCCCGGATTGGTTGAGAAAGTAATAGCTGTTTCGCCTTCCTTTCTCGAAACATTCACAACGTGCCCAAACCATCACAGCCATGACTTCTCAAGATGCAGAAGCTGCGGCTGTACACAAATGTCTTAATAAATTAGAAATATGCCTTATAATTCATGAGGTGTAAAGTCGTGTTTACTGTTACAATAGACAGGCCTTGGCTACTTTCCGGTGGTAACAGAAAATTCAAAACGTCAAAACTTTCTAAACGATCAGAAGACGAGAGTTCTGAGAAAATGAGGGATTAAATATAGTAGGATGAGCAGATATTACATACCTTAAGCTACGCAGAGTTTACAACGCTGATAAAGCTGATGATGACGAAGCAAATTGTCAAACAACAGATTATACAGTGAGACAGGGGAACATAGTAGATTAGGTAGATTATTTCAAGCATTCCGTGATCAAACGATGAACTGAGGCGTTGGACTGAATGGCATCAGCTAATTTTGGAAAGCGTCGACAAGCACAGAAAGACTTCGCTTCTTCTTGTCATAGATTTGTTCCGAGAATTTCCACAAAAATACCTGGAAAATCTTTCTGAAAGATCATATGGATTGACCAGAGCCAAAAAGTCTCATGTGCACCAAACGAGGCAAAGAGCCGTTTTATCTACTGAAGCTGGACAGTCTCGCTACAACCATCATTTGTCCAGTGATACCAGCTGGTTCACAAAGAAAACCATCTACTTCCCATTCCACGAGCTACCCTATTGATTTTGCGCATGGGCAAGATAGGCTTGGCAGATGTATTTGATCTTCGGCACCACCTCGTTGCTGACACGTAAGCGCCCAAAAGGCCGTTTTTCCAGATTGTGAAAGCAACGGCAACACTCTTGCAGTGCAAACTAAACTTTGTTCTGGGTCACCGATATTGTCTTCCAGTTCAGGACACACGGAGATTTGGAGAAGGAGCAACAAATCCCTTCCAAGCTGTGGATTGCAATGTTACTCTGCTCTGCACTGTAGGTGCAGAAATTCGATCTTTCCATTAGAGAAATTCCTCTTAACCGTCAGTTTCTTTGAGGAAGAAATTAACCTCATTATGCTTTGGTACCATCAACCGAAAAACGGATGGCCAGCCCTTTGCTCTGCGATTTCTAGGGAAAACATGATGCTGCAGCACGGTTAGGCGACCTTGTTGCCTGACGTTTGCGCCTACGTCTGCGATTCGCGTTCACCGATCTGAGAGTCGATTATAAATTAGCAGAAGGTGTGAATCATAAATAAATAATAACAACAAATTGCACTGGAGGAGGACGTCATAACCGTTGCGCCAACGAACAATTGCCTACGCTGATGGCAAAGCCATAGTTGGTTGGGTACCCCTAGAAGTTATCTTTTGAATGCAGGGAGAACAGAGCACAGCATGAAGGTTAACTGGAACCCTTAGCACGCTGCAGTGTTCACCCACGCCCGTCTCTGATCAACAGCACATGCGACCACCAGCTAATGTTCGTGCAGCTGAACCAGCAGCTATCTTCTGCGTTAATACCTTGCTACCAATTTATTCGGTATCGCCGTACTCCATTCCAGTCTTCACTCCTTGTAATATAAGTTGGGGCTTTATGAGCCGCTGAAGTACCAGTGGCTCACTTTCGACCCTATCGCCACGTGACCTGCACAGTTCACCTGTAAAACATTGGCTGTGGTCCAAACTCATGGAATGAGAATCGACCGGCAGCGGTAACACGTAACGCCCGAAGAACAGACAGACGGTGATTGGTTGAAATTAGAAATTGACGGGCATGTTGTTAAAATTCAGGCCATCAAGCGGACTAGTATAGCGGTTTAAAAGCAGAAATCAGGCCCATATAGAAACTTTAACGCCAAAGCAGAGGTTGTGTTAATCTATAGGCGAAAGAGCATCAAAAACCGCTGTTCTTGCCGGCCGGAGAGACAGGGGCTGTACTGAGCTTTGTCCAACTTTACTGATGTTCAGGCGATGACAAGGTCTTCTATATCGTGGTAAACGTGAGCAGGGAAGCAGCTCGACCTCATCAAGGTTATCAATGAGAGCAAAGGCAGGCCAAGTTTTAAAATAGGAAAATGGTCACTACAACTGTAGTCAGCAGCACCAGATATCAATTTGAGGAAGCATTAAAAACAGACAGAAATAAGTATTCTCGACGACATCATAGATTCAAACCATGGTGTTATAGCCTTGGTTAGTTTTAGAGAGCGGTGACAGATTCAATGACCAGTCCTTGCAGTACGCGACAAATTGCTCACAGTGGAGAGGTGGCACAATCCCTATAAGGTCGTCTTAGACCTCCATGGCTGCCCGGTTGAATTCTGGCGGTAGGTCATTCCCTCTCCTAAGCGCGAATTCCCTTGTGCAAGAAATTTACCACAGGTTGCTTCAACCGGAATTGCTGAGTCAGCAGAGCATCGAACTCAGAGCCGAGAGATCCTGGGTTCCAGCCCCGTGTAGATCACTCATTTTTCATTCTTCTGAGACTGATAAGCGAATACCACCCTGTGAGAAGGAAACTGGACAGTATGCACAATACTTGCCACACAGGTCATTTCAACAAATAAAGCCTGCTAAATAAAGGTGCTCCTGGCATGGAAATGGAGATCAGCGCCAAATCATTAGCGTCATGAACTGAACGAAATACAGAAAAGGAACACGTTTGCACGAGCAGCGTCGCGTTTATTCACTCATTCAGTAACTCAGAAAGCCATATTTCTTCCGGTTCTCACGGGCAAATGGTTCAGAAGTCTCAGGCCTTTCTAGTGGACGACACGCTCAGTGCACTTGATTCAAGATCTTCCATATAATCTGGTTCTTTGTGTATCCAATAACTGCGCTTTTTATGAATTTGTCGAAATAGCCAAGTCTGGCGAGTCTTTACCTTAGCATCCTCATTACTTGTCGAAATCATCAGAATCGTGAACTGGAGACGGACTGGAAATCAACACAATCGACGATTTTCTTTCTTAGTCGAGTCTCTTACACCAGCGGTCATCCGTCTTACACCCGCGATCTTCCATTCCAAATAGTTATTGATAGCCTTTCGTCGGACGGAAGATATATGAGGCATTTCGACAGCGAATTATTTTAACAAAGATATAATTTTTTTCTTCAAGCAGCAACTGTCGCTCAAAACAGCATGCAGAGACAAGCACATGAAGGGTTACGATTAACCCCTTCTCCCTTGATACCGGGTTGAAGCAGCGTAATGACACTGTCCCCTTGGTTTTAGTCGCCTAGGGGACAATTTAAGCAGGCCACAGCTCCATGGTATTTGAACACCTACAGTGCATGGATGCGAAGACGCATCACTAGGCAGGGGCGAACAAAGGCCTGTTGGGACACCTGCAAATATGCCACGATGCGCAGGCATATTTATTCCTAAAGATATTTATACATAATTAAGTCGAAAATTTATAATTTACTCGTAACAGTTTATAACAGTTTTAAACTTTGAAATGGAGTACCTGCACGACCGGAAGCATAGTGATAAACATAGAAGTACGGTCGCAAAAAAGACGTGCAAAATTGACATTTCCATTTTTACTGGTGTGGTTCAAAGCATGGAACCCTTTTCAACTGCCAGCTTGGAACGAAAGTTGGGGAAAAAATTAGTATTGACAAACGGAACTGTCTGGCTAATGCCTTGCAGCGTAGCAGAGACTGCCGGCTCTTAAGCAGGTTGCTTGACTAGCAGCCGTAGTTGTTCCTCATTTTGTCTGCGTCCC